ATGTCACCGGACCTGAAACGTTAACTCTGTTTTCTCCTTCACAGATGCTGCCAGACCTGCTGAGCTTTTCCAGCAACTTTGTTTTTGTTCCTGATTTACAGCATCCGCAGTTCTTTTGGTTTTTATTAAGCACTATTTTATATTGTTTCTGTAGATACTCCTCTGGAGCCATGGAAATGCCAAACAGCATTTGTTTCTCCTAACAACATGTTTCTCCCAAAGGGCATCCGAAGTGTGGTTAGGAAGCTGCTGGTTTTATTCGGCTTCACTTACCAGTGTCTAGGGTAGGCTTTTGTCTTTCCGTTTTCTGGCAAAATTCCTTTAATGGTTGACATAGGCCACGAGAGTTCATCGGAGCTTCATTTAGATCAGTACAACCTCTCAGCTTTCCAGGTTGTTTCGCTGCTACCATGCTGTTATCTGTTCTGTAGGAGTCTTCATTTTCTCTATTGCTCCCTTTTTGATCTTATATCTCAGGCTAAACTTGAGAGCAGCTGGAAATTTCCTCAGCAGGTGCTCAATTGCTCTCACACTCTCATCTACTTCAAGATAATATTCTCCAGAAAGACATCCTAGGTCTTTAAGTGCATTGTCGTACACTTTTAGGATCTATTCCATAATCAATGCTCATAGTGCGATTACTCAGATTGTGTATATTCCTTTGGAACAGTCAGCACAAAGGGGCCACAACCTGCAGGACCAATAGCACTGAACGACTTCTCTGCCTATGATAAACTGACTTTATTTTTATGGAATATTAGTTTATTTCCATTATCATAAAATATCCCTAAAATTTAATATTTTTAAAATATTGTGGTATTTCATCTTCTGCTTTAATCCCATATGTATGACCCAAATCTTTATTTGAAATGAAGGATATTCAATACTTTGAACTACCTGGTATACTGTCCATAAAAATTCTTCAACATGATTGTCTGTTTAAATTTTTCAACATCATGATTTTTGCTGGATACCAGTGATAACTGATAACAGAAAGCATTTAACATCATAAAAGATGTGATCACTAATCATTGTGGGCATTTTTCTTCAGGCTCAGTATGAGTGCCATCAGTTTATCACTGGCTGTATGATGCAGGATTTTTATAGAGTCATAGAGTCATACAGCTGAAGTTACAGACCCTTTGGTCCAACCAGTCTATGCTGAACATAATCCCAAACTAAACTAGTCCCAACTGCCTGCTCCTGGACCATATCCCTCCAAACCTTTCTCATCCATGTACTTATCCAAATGTCTTTTAAATGCTGTAATTGTACCCATATCCGCCACTTCCTTAGGAAGTTCATTCCACACGTGAACCACCCACCGTAAAAAAATTTGCCCCTCGTGTCTTTTTTAAATTTCTCTCCTCTCATGTTAAGAATGTGGCCCCTAGTTTTGAAATTCCCTATCCTAGGGAAAAGACAACTACCCACTCTATCTACACCTCTCATTGTTTAATAAACTTTTAGCAGGTCGCCTCTTAACCTTCAACACTCCAGTGAAAAAAATCCCAGCCTATCCTTATAACTCAAACTTTCCATTCCCGGAAATATCCTGGCAAATCTCTTCTGAACCCTCTCCAGCTTAACAATATCCGCATGGGTCTTAGTTATCTTGTCTGTCTCTTTGTGGGGTACGTGGAACATTCCTTGTTCAAGTCCTATTCCAGCCCCCACCCACAACTCTTTCTCCGATGCATCAATGATATCATCGGTGCTGCTCCCGCTCTCATCCAGAATTCGAAAATTTCATCAATTTCGCCTCCAATTTCCACCCTGCCCTCACTTTCACTTGGTCTATCCCTGACTCCTCCCTTCGCTTCCTCGATATTTCTGTTTCCATTTCTGGGGATAGACTGGCCATTAATATCCACCACAAACCCACTGACTCCCACAGTTACCTGGACTGTACATCCTCACACCCCACTTCCTGTAAAGACTCCATCCCATTCTCTCAGTTCCTCCATCACAGTGGCATATGTTCAGATGAGGCCAACTTCGACAAGGGAGCCTCTGAAATGTTCACTTTCTTCCTCAACCGAGGATTCCCCAGCTCCGTGGTCGACAGGACCCTCAACCAGGTCCGACCCATCTCCCCTACTTCCACCCTCACCCCTTCTCTTCCCTCCTGCAACAGTGACAGGGTTCCCCTTATTCTCACCTACCATCCCACCAGCATCCACATCCAGAAGATCATCAGACGCCATTTCCGCCACCTCCAGCAAGATGTCACCACCAGACACATATTCCCCTCCCCTCCCTTGTCCGCCTTCCGCAGGGACCATTCCCTCCGGGACACCCTGGTCCACACTTCTTTCACCCGCAACACACCCCCACAGCCCTACAGCACCTTCCCCTGTAACTGGCGAAGGTGTAACATCTGCCCATTTACCTCCTCCCTCCCCAGTATCCAAGAGCCCAAACATACCTTCCAGGTGAAGCAACAGTTTACCTGCCCTTCCCAGAATCTAGTCCACTGCATTCGCTGCTTACAATGTGGCCTCCTCTACATTGGGGAAATGAAGCACAGACTCGGTGACTGCTTCGTAAAACATCTACATTCTGCTGACAGAAAAGACCCTGAACTACCCATTGCCTGCCACTTTAACACACCACCCTGTTCCCTGGCTAACATCTCTGTCTCTGGCTTGCTGCAGTGTTCCAGCGAAGCTCAAAACAAGCCGGAAGAACAACTCCTCATTTTATGCTCGTGGACCCTGTAAGCCCTCCGGATTCAATATTGAGTTCAATAATTTTAGGGCCTAAACTCTCCCATGTCCCAGCCCCCTACCCCACACACCAGGCCCTGTTACCACATAGCCTGCCATTACACACTTCCCAATGTTAGTCACTAACAGTCCCCATTAACAACTATTCACCCTCCCAGCCTGATCGTTAGCAACTCCTTTGTCTATCCAACTGCTCTTCTCTCTCTTTAGGCTTTATCTTATCGTTTAACTCCCAATCTATCCCCCTCTCCTCTTTTCTGCATATAAACTGATGTTTTCCCAGCCACCATCAGTTCTGAGGAAGGGTCACTGGACCCGAAATGTTAACTCTGTTTTTTCCTTCAGAGATGCTGCCAGACCTGCTGAGCTTTTCCAACAGCTTAGTTTTTGTTCCTTCCTATAACTGGGCGACCAGAATTGGACACAGTATTCCAGTAGAGGCCTTACCAATGTCCTGTACAACCTCAACATGACCTCCTAACCCCTATACTCAAAAAGGGCTGAGCAGTGAAGGCTAGCATGCCAAATGCTGTTTTAACCACCTTGGCTATATGAGACGCAAAGTTTAAAGAAATATGTACCTGCACTCCTAGGTCCCTCTGTTCTACAACACTTCCCAAAGTCCTGCCATTCATTCTTTAAGCCCTACCCTTGTTTGTTGTACCAAAAGAAATACCTCGCATTTATCTAGATTGAACTCCAGCTGCCATTTTTCAGCCCATTGACCTATTTGATCAAGATCCCTCTATAATCTTAGAAAAGTTTCTTCACTGTCTACTATGCCACCAGTTTTACTGTTATCCATAAACTTACTAACCATGCTTTCTATATTCTCATCCAAATCACTTCCGTAAATGACAAGCAAAAGAGGACCCAGAGCCGATTCCTGCAGAACACAGCTGGTGACAGGTCTCCAGTCTGAAAAGCAACCCCCACACATTACTCTCTCTCCTGCCATTAAGCCAATTATGTATCCAATTGGTAAGCTCACTCTGAAGCTCAAGTAACCTAACTTTACTGATTAGTCTACCATGTGGAACCTTGTCAAAGGCTTTACTAAAATCCAAATAAACGATGTCTACTGCTCTGCCATCACCAATCTTTTTGGTAACTTCCTCAAAAATCTCAATCAAGTTTGTGAGACACGATTTTCCTCGCACAAAATCATGCTATCATGCTATCCCTAATCAATTTTAGCCTCTTTAAATGTCCATAAATCCTTCTTGAATGATTTAAATCATCATTCTCACATTTAATGGATCAAGATATTAAACCCATTTTCTCATGTATTAATATAATTGCATCATGTTACCACTCTTCAAAATACCATCATATATGCTTTTAATACAAAAGATTAAAAAAATTACATTTTATTATGATATGCTGGTTCATGGAAGATTTTAAATTTCTCACTGTACAAATATCTTTAAACTGATAGTTGACTAAAATTTTGCTTTGGAAATAAAATGCAATTGCAAACCCAATTTGCAGATTGTCAACTGCACTTAAAGTGGAAAATGTATCACAAGACTATGATCTAGTCTTAAGCTACAGTTATAAACTCCTTGAAATTTTGTTCCAACAACATTTTTGGCCCTTGTAACCATTATTTGGCCATTATCTGCTGCATTATTACATATGATTCAGGTTGGTGACTCAAACTTACCACATATTTCGAGCCCTGTTCTTCTACAGTTCTAGTTTCTGGTATTTCAAAAAGCAGTCGAATTGGCTTCACCTTCTTATTCATATTGTTCCAATACTGCAACAGTTGCTTTGTGGTTAGTGTAGCTTCTGGGACTGCTGTGCTGTAAGGGGCTAAGAAATGGAGATAACCTATAAAGTGATGTCATTTTAACTTATTGGAATGTTAGTAAAAGATTCAAGTTGAAATTTTTAAAAGGCTTGAATTCAATTCATCAATATAATGTTTCAAGCTTTTGTTGTGATGTATTTTTGATGGAATATTTACTGTAGATATCAAATGTTTGTACGCCCACGCCCTATCTCATCTAAGTATCAGAGAAATTATCGCGCTTATGGAAGCCTCAGAACCTCGGAAGGGTCACCAGACCCGAAACGTTAACTCTGTTTATTCCTTCACAGATGCTGCCAGACCTGCTGAGCTTTTCCAGCAACTTTGTTTTTGTTCCACAATATTCTGTTCATTAAACTAAATAAGTGAAAAACCAAAGACTGTAGAACCTAGAAACTGAAAAATCTGGCTACTCTGCTGTTTTAACATGCTGTGCCAACATGTTGCCCTATCTCTTCCAAGCTTTAGGAAGAATAATTCACAGATGCTCAATGTTTTGTGCTGTTTTACTCATGATAAAACTGAGCGTTAAAGAAGCCAACAACATTTGGACATAAACCCTGAATGGGCTGGAAAGTATTCAAATTGCATAATAATAACATAATTAAGCATTAAATATGATTGTAAAACCTTCTTTCAATGTGTTTAGTAACATTACCCCATTTACCTTTGTTTTGTTGTGAAACATCACTACTGCATCCTCGTGCAGCCCCAGTAACACTTTCTTCCTTAATAGGGTTTTTATTGCAAAAAGCTGCTGAAACCTCATGTTTCAGTGATGATTTTTTTTGCTTGTAATCTTCCATTGTTTTAACAACCTGCACACCAAAAAATCACAAGATTGTATTGTTACATGTGCCTGTTTGAAGAGGATCGATGGATGGATGATTGGTCAGCATTAATTAACTGTAAAAGTTGTTGAGTTGAAGATTACTTGTGTTATTGAATGCAATATTTTTTCCGTGTTACATATATCCAAACTTGAAGTCCTAATGTGGAGGATTTGTTCTTTGAAGTTATCTATAAGAATGCAAAGAAGAAAGGCAAGTGTTTATATTCTTAGAAATTTCTCAAATAATCTGAAAGTTAAATAATGCCTGGGAATGAACTGAGACAAATATGGAAGTTATTTTATAAATGTTGTGGAACTGGTATCTCCAGAGCTTACCACAACTGTGAAGATGGTGCCAAAGGGTAAATCTGAATGCTGTTCTGCTGCATGGACATTAGCACCCATAAGAAATCCCCTTCGGTTTCTCTTATCTATGCCTCCTGTTGTCTTTCTGATTGTAATCCTGATATAAGTTACAAAAACAGAAATTGCTGGAGAATGTTTATCAGTCCTGAAGAAGGATCAGTGGACCTGAAACGTTAACTCTGCTTTCTCTACACAGATTCTGCCACACCTGCTGAGTTTCTCCCGAAATATATGTTTTTGTTTCAGATTTCCAACATGAGTTGTTCTTGGGTTTTTTTTGTCTAATATTAAGTTATTTTGCATTCAGTCATAGGATGGCATTGCTAATTAGGTCAGCATTTATTGCCCAAATCTAGCTGCTATTGAGAAGGTGGTGATGAGTTGTCTTCTTTATTCTCTGCAGTTCTTTTGCCATTTATTCATTTCATAGTCTTTATGTACTTTGGACGTGACTTGATTTCTTGGCATGGTGGTTCATGGTGCCACTCCTTCTATTGGCAAATAGTGGCTATATTTCCCAATGTGATGGTAGAGCTGCGTTGGTAGTGGTTACTTGTTTATTTTTTTTTCCTCTGCATGTGTGTATTTTGTACATTCCATTTGCCGCGTTCTTATCCAATTTCAATACTGGTCACCACAAACATCTTTCTCTGCGTCATAGGATTGGTAAAGATGGTTTTAAAAAGGGTTGAATTTTAAACAATCGAAATTCGGAAAATTTTTATGTGGACGTCATATACATTACTGAGTCAATCTTTTAGACTTTGAAAATCTACAGATTAAACCTACTATGAATGCTGCTAATTTTGTAAACAGTTCGATGGTTCCTGGAGTCTAACTGTAGTTGTATTTGCAACCTTGCCTCTGGTGCACTAAAAATTAATGTATAATGTGATGAGCAGAAATCATGCGTTTGCACACTCGAGTAATCTGCAATACCTCTTTTATTCCATTTTAGAGACATGTCATGTGGAACCTTTTATCTAATGCTCCCTGAAAGCCTAAATATGTGAATGTTCTTTGTATTGTTATATCAAACACCACCAGTTTGTGTTTAGAGAGGTCTCTGTTACAATCCACTTTCCTGGTTCTAAGGAATTAATTTGTTTGCAATTGTAAAAGAAAGCCTCCAGTAAGTCTTAATGAGAAAAATGCTCTTGCTTTAAACAAGATGTAGTTTATTGCATTATAGCAATCAAGTAGTAGTAATTTTGTCAATATTTCTAGGACTGTGTGGACAATTAAGATAACAGGTATGGCTTCCTCATGATCCTTCATCAGAGCCTTGCTTTTTTTAAAAATTCTTTCATCAATTTTGGTAAACTGTGAACTGAAGATGACAGTTGCATTGTGGGTAGCAGCTTGAATTTTTTAAAAAAAGGAACAAACAAGCTGTTGTTTGTTTGTCAGGCCAGGCCTGGAAGTTAATTGCAGATTAGTTCTTGATCAAAGGATTCTACAGTCTCTTTGACTCTGAGGAAAGCAATAAATTTAACAGATGTTTGGCCATTAACAAGGTTGGTACCTGGGGACTGGTGCCAGCAAGTCTGGGAGAGAATATGAATGGTCAAACAGAGGGAGGAGCTGGAGTTTTTGAACTGGACGTTTCTGTGAGAAAGAGTTTGTCTGATGATGTTACAACATGAAGCTCCCTGCCTAATCTCCCATATATCCACAATTCAGAGAATAGAACAAGGTTATAAGTATTACTGAAACTTCCTCAGAGTGAACAGACAGGTGGCACTAGTTGATGTCTTCAAAAAGTCAACCAAGCAATAATCATATGATGTGAAACAATGCATCATGAAAGCCACTTAAGTAAACTGACCAGTTTTGTTATTTGCCTTTATTTATCTATTTAACAAGTTTGTTTGTCTCTTGTGTGAATGGGGCTGAAAATAAAGGTCATTAGGTTTAAATCATAGACATTAATTAAATTAATTTTGTTGTTTAATTTTGCTCTGATAAAGTAACTGTGTTGTGAATAAATTGCCAAATCTATGTTTAAAGTACAAACCCTTTGTCTAGAAATGATTATTGACAAAGCCCGGGATTAATTATTTGAAAGTCTGTTTAGGAACTATTAAGGTTAATTGAGGATCTTTGAAGGTTTTGATTTTACTGTGCTGCAAATACAGTGGTAGGGAGGCTGATTTGATTTGGCTGTATACCTCCGTATCATAACATCAAAGACGTCACACCCATCCCAACCCAAGTCCTTATGGATGGTGCTTAATGCAGACTCTAACGTTAATCTTTCAGAACCTATTTACTTCTACAACAATGTACATGCCTTGCATTATACATATATACACTTGCATTCTCAAGGCTCAGCTGGCAATAAATGTTTTTAGTCTTGAGTAATCTTGATTTATTACTTTTTTGATAGACTCCAGTGGGTTTTCCTGCAGTGGATGACAAGCATGCATTCTATCCTGGGAATATGTTTCTATAAGTTTAACAAACATATGAATATTAGTTACATTATAATTACCATTTTGCAATTTAATGAGCTGTGAAATATTTTCTACATTAATCACTTACTTGTTAAATATTTTTTTGACTATATTGCAGTTCCAGTTTTGACTCAGTTAATTCGTTTCTTACTAATGTGGAATTTCTCCAAAATTTGAAGGTGTATCTCTTAACTTTCACGTAAAGAATTTGATTAAGCAAGTCGTGATAAACTAGCCTCATTATACAGCATCAGATTAAGTGGACTGACACATTAGAAAATTGGCCTGTGTAAGATCTTCTACCAGGTTTATGGCAGTTTTCTGCCTAATAGCCAGTGACCAAAAGTTGAGATGCAGGTGCAGGATGCTATTCAAATGGCAGCTGCACGTCTGATCATGCATGAATATACCCAGCATTCTACGCCCATTACAATTCGGTTGTGAAGAGTTAAACAGCTCCTGCTGAAGCTCAACAATTTTAACTGATGACTATCATGTATGTTCTTATATGCACTACACAGCTTGTACCTTTTCCAGGAAGTCGGGGGAGTGTTGGTTCAAGGTGCCACATCTTCCAGTGCCTCTGTCAATAGTCTAATTACAAATGGCAGCTATACCTCCATACATGGTGGCAGATCGGATTCGGATGGAATAAGATAGAACGTGAATTACAGTCATAGTTACTTCGATCCTTGTTTGGTCCGAGGATCACATTCCACATGCTAGGAATTGACCTTCTCTTGCAGGCTCGATCGTTCAGTTTCTAAGCCTGCTAGGTTTTCCGTAGTCCGAGACTTAGTGTTGATTACTCTGGGTTTTCTCAATCCAACTTTATCATGCTATTTTAACTGATTTTTAACTTCAGGATTAACTTGAACTTTTATTTTGTTTACCCGTTTTCTTCTTCACACTGGGTCCTAAAATTCATTTTCTGGTTGGATTCTGAAATAGTGGAATCCTAGAATCATAGAATTTACAATAGAGGTAAAGGAGGTGAGATTACAGAGATAGGGTGGGGAGCTGGGTCTGGGTGGGATGCACTTCAGAGGGTGGTACAGACTCAACAGGCCAAATGGCCTCCTTCCACACTCTAGGCATTTTTTTTTCCCTTTATTCATTAACGGGATGAGGGCATCACTGGCTAGGCCAGCATTTATCGCCCATCCCTAATTGCCCAGAGGGCAGTTTAGAGTCAACCACATAACTGTGGGTCTGGAGCCACATGTAGGTCAGTCCAGGTAATGATGGCAGTTTCCTTCCCTAAAGGACATGAGTGAACCAGATGGATTTTTCCTGATAATCAACAATGGATTCATGGTATTTAACAGACTCTTAATTCCAGATATTTTATTGAATTCAAACTCCACCATTGCTGTGGTGAGATTCGAACCTCGGTGCCCCGAATGTTATCTGGGTCACTGGATTAACAGTCCAGCGATAATACCACTAGGCCATCACCTCCCCTAATCTATGGTTCTATGAAGCCATTCAACCCATTATGTCTATACCAGCTCCTGAAAGTGCAACCCACCTAGTTCCATTCTGCAGCCCCATCTCTGTAAGATTGATTAGAAAAAAAAACGTTAATTTTTTTTAAAATCCCCTACTTAAATTGACGTGGTGACAACAATAATTCAAATAAATGTGTCTATCAGGTGTAAAAATGCTTCAAAACATAAGTGACTACGCTAAATAAAAATACTTGTCAGCAGCTCCTGACTCATCTGCAGCATAGCTGGCAAGTGCAAAAAGTCTTTTCATTTTATACAAAGACATTTCCTTCATTTCCACATGGATGCACTCCTCAACCTTTTATGTAAATACTGTTAAATAAAGCACTTTGGTAATAATCTCCTGGGGCCTTTATAAATGTAGAGCAAAAGTCCCTGAAACATCCATATCATATTGATAACACGTGGTATCTTTTCAGCTTTTAAAGGTGTTCTCCTGGGCTTTCCAAAAGCAAATACATTGTGAAACTTCCATCAGCATTATATAACAAAAAAAAAATTTCAAGATTGGGGTGCTGACAGTATAACCAGTGGATCAATTCAGACCAATGAGTCCTGATAACCTAGACCACAAAAGTCTACTTCAATTTGCTAATTTGTTCTACCAAAACTTAATGGCATTAGTGAGCTCTTGTCAGTCTTAATGGGTGGATAAAATGGAACAGAAATGTCTGTTTGTATTCATAACTTGAAAGTGATGATAGTAAAGGGAAAGATTCATTAAACTTGTATGTGGTCCTTGATTTTCTTTGGTATACAACTAAAGTCTCCAGTGAGGGTAAAAAAGTTGTGTACCTAGATCATGGCCCATTGCCATAACAGTGTGATAGTTTACGCATTCCAACAGCCCTCTGATAGTGTTTATGATCTACCTCCTTTCACATTGTGACATCTCATCCTATGAATGTCATTCTATTCCGTTCTCCTTCATTCACTTTTCGTTCTTGCCCTTAAGCGTCTCAATCACTCCATACGGTAGCAAGTTTCACATTCTCACTATCATAGAATTATCATAGAATCCCTACAGTGTGGAAACAGGCCCTTCAGGCCAACAAGTCCACACCGACCCTCAGACATCCCACCCAGACCCCTAGCCCTATAACCCACCTAATTTTCACATCCCTGAACACTATGGGCAATTTAGCATGGCCAATCTGCCTAACCTGCACATCTTTGGACTGTGGGAGGAAACCGGAGCACCCAGAGGAAACCCACGCAGACACAGAGAGAATGTGCAAACTCCACACAGACAGTCGCCCGAGAGTGAAATCGAAACCAGGTCCCAGGTGCTGTGAGGCAGCAGTGCTAACCACAGAGCCACCGTGCCACTCCGATATAGAAGTTATGGCTGAATTTCTGAATCAGAGTCATTGGACTCAAAATGTTAACTGTTTTCTTTCCACAGATGCTGCCAGACCTGCTGAGTTTCTCCAGCAATTTCTGTTTTTGTTTGTTTCAGATCTCCAGCATCGCAGTTCCTGGTTTTATTTTATTTAAACACCTTAAAAGACTTCCAATAGGTTACCTCTCTGCTTTCTAAACAGCACGGTTTATACCTTTCAGAATTTACACAGTCATTATGAGACATTTTAGATGAAATTATTTACACTAAATTGTTTTCTTTAATTTATGGAAAATATTTAGTTATTACTAATTTTATTTTATGCAAGATTATTACTTTCATGACTATGACAACTTAAGCTGAAATTCAAGTGTCCATCATAAAATCAAATCAAAAATCTCACTCGTGACTACAAGTTCCAGATCTTCATCTGTGCCAGAACCGAATGAACTCTGTGCACAGCTCAAAGCAATGGATACCCCCACGCACAACAAAATTGTTATAATCTTCTAGTTCCAATAAAGGTTCCTCAAAATTTATCTGATAAACCCAAAACACATTACATATACATACATCCTGTATATTTTAAATACCGGTTGGAAAGAAAAGAAAAGAAAACCCAAACCTTTAACTATTTTTAGGCAGTACGCATACATTATTGCAATCTACAAAATAGGAAGCACTGAGTTCAAAGCATAAACTAACCTTTAAAAAGTCTGAGTTTTGTCCTGGAGGTAAGGCAAAAAATAAAGGCAGACTTTACATCTATCATCACAACAATTGCAAAGAACTAAAGAGTTTCCAGTCCTACATAATAGAAACGTTGTTTCTGTGAACATGTGCAGCTATAAGAACATTTTGCTTTACGTTGGTTAAAACAAAAGCTATGTACTGTTATACTAATTACTTCCTCTATGGGAGGGGTTTATGCAAAGGCAAATGTTCCTTGGCAGTTTCTTTTAAAGAGACACAATAGCTAAAGATAGTTAGTTAAAAAAAATTAGGTAGGAAGAAACTGTTCCCTTTGGTGGAAGGATTGAGGATTATTTACACTGATTTTAAGTGACTGGCAGAAGAAGTATCAGTAACACGAGGAAAAAGTTTTTTTTTAATGCAGCAAGTGGTTAGGATCTGGGATGCAATGCCAGAGGGTATGGTGGATGCAGCTGTAATTGTCATCTTTGAAAGAAAATTGTTTGGTTATCTGAGGAGGGAAAAAAAAATCAGGGTGCAATAATTTAGGAAGCCCAGCTGTTTAACACCAGAATGGAGCCACGACTCATGGTTTACACCGTGTAATCCAACGGAGAATAGACAGTTCTGTAGACCCGTCGCTGGGTTTTTTTTTCTCTTATATCCGGAAGTGCTGTGACACTCAATTAAACAACTTTCCCACCACCAAATCACAGTGGTTTTTTTTATATAAACTAATAACCACCACCTGTTATCACCCGTGTAGGCTGGGTCTGCTTTTATTTTACTTTTTTGAGTTTTTTGTTTGTCTTTCTAATATCTTTTCTATATATCCACACATCTGAATGAATTTCCTACCACCAAATCACTGTAGTTGTTTTTTTTGGACCCTTTTAAAACTGTTAACTGCCACCAGTAAAATCACTTGTGTAGCCAATTAAATATTTAAAAGCAAGGCCAATTATGGGCAATGCGAATCATCAAAATGATAAGGGAGTAGGGAGAGCAGGAAGGGGCTGGGTCTGGTTTTTATTAAATAATTTAGAGCTGGGCGGGCCTTTGTCTGATACCAAGGGAACTCATACTCATGAGCTCCCTAAGTAGTTTAATTAGTGATTCCCTATGGGCCTTAAGGGGGTTACCCACAGGGCTGCCAGGGAGTGGCACTTTTAAAATGCTCTCGCAAACAGCTGACATAGATACAACGGTCTGAATGGCCTCCTGCCATGCTGTAAATATTTTATGATCTTATAATATTACGTGTTGAGAGAGAAAATCCAGAGGCTGTTTATTACATTAGCACGTTCAAGTGACATGATAGTCAGTTTGATGAAATGTCCATCACCATAGGTGATGCTAAAGAAAAAAAAGTTTTTCAAATGATCTTTTGAGATTTCAATGCTCTCCATTTAAATGCTCAATATCTTCATCCTTTGGAACATCTTGATGAGAAAAGCACGGTAGATTCACAGATTTTTAAGATGCATTTACGGTGAATAAATGGTCAATATTTTACACAATAATAGAATCTGTTCTGGAATCAACAAATCCCTACAGTGCAAGTAGAGGCTATTTGGCCCATCGAATCTGCACCGACCCTCCAAACATCATCCCCATCCCCCAACCCGCATTTACCATAGCTAACCCACCTAGCCTGTAAAACCCTGGACATGATGGGGCAATTTTGCATGGCCCGTCCACCTAACACATCTACATACCTTTTGACGATGGGAGGAAACTGGAGAACTGGAGGAAACCCATGCAGAGACAAGGAGAACTTCACACAGACAGTCACCCAAGGCTGGAATCAAACCTGGGTTCCTGGCTCCGTGAGGCAACAGTGCTAACTACTGAACCACCCAGCTGTCCCTGTTTTATTTGTTTCCAGATCAGTTTTCTATACCCAACAATAATTTTCACTGACTCGCTTAGTCATATTTTATTGTGTTCCTAATTTAGACGTCAGTCTAAGGTATTTCTGGATTTAATAACTCTTACAACAAAATAATAAGCCAACTTTTTACCTAACAGATAAGAGATAAAAACTGCACATACACACACCATACATTTTGAAAGCAATCATGAAACTCTTCATGGGTTTTCCATGGTATCAAGCATAAAAGGAAACACCTGGCCATGATCAAAGCTCTCAATTTTTCAAAATAAATAAGCATTTTATAAATAAATATGAATTTTCATTTCCTCATCTTTTAGATGAGACATTAAATCATTCTTGCTCCTGCTCTCTCAGGTTGACAACAAGAACCCAATCACGCAATTCAGTCAAATACTCACTACTCCATTAGAGCCCACAGATAGACAGTTAGATGGCTGAATTCAATCATGAATGCTGATGTTCTGTCATCAGGGTCAAAAGCAGGAGGCTTTGGTTGGCAAAGGGAAGGAATATTTCCAATGGTCGTCAAATAGGAGGCAGCTGCTGGGGCTGCAATCACAGTGGAGAATGGCAGCTTACCAGTCAATTAGAGGACTGGCACCTCAGCAGTAGGACTGTCAGTGGCAGCCATTGCTGAGGATGTGTTGATGGCTTACGTGCCCTCAAAGTCAAATAAGGATGCTAGGTGCAGTCAGGCATACAGCAGCATTTGGGGCTGATGGGGCAAGAGGGTGTTTAGTGATGGCAGGCGGTGCCACTGTGGGTAGCCATTACTGCCAGGAAATTGACCCTCCCTTGGAGTCTACTGGGAGGCTGCTGGCTTTCACTAGATGGTCAACCCAAGTGATGGCAGCTCCTTAGCAGCTAAATCGGTCTCCCACTGAGTAGCCTATCTGCCAGCTTTCCAGGCAAAATGGCATGGTGGAGAGCGGGTGACAGGCACCCCTCTCCTTACGTATTGCAGCATCATTTTCCAGTCATCCTGTGTCCCAACCTGTTGTCAAGATAACATACTTTGGCTTTAAAATCGTAAAGTAGCTGTTTAGTCTACTATGTTCACACTGTTGGCTTTTCACCAAATGAATTTAAGTCAGTTTCTAGGTCAGCAACAGCAGGTAGCAAAGGCAAGGACAACTGTGAAGAATCTGTGTTATAGGGTGCAGCCTTCTCCAAGTCCTGTTTAGCTGGATTTGTACGCTTTAGTCTGCAGATTGCACGGAGGTGGTGAGATTAACCTGAGGGTCACTATGCCTCAGGTAAGGGGCAAGGTTGAAAAGGCAGGGTTTTCATGATGGGCTCAGCCAATGCAAGAACTGAACCCATTCTGTTGGCATCACTCTGAATTACAAATGAGTCATCCAGCCAATTGAGTGAAACGATCCAAGGCATCAATCCACCGAACATACATAAAAAAGACTTTATTTGGACTTTTAAAACTACTTAATTTGTCCTGCCTCTTTGTAACTTAATTGTGTTGGTGAGTGTAAACACTTGAATGCATGGTTTCGATTTTCATCCCCAGGTGAATGGCGCAGAGTTGAATGAAATCCTGGCTCCATTAATGTGATGTTGAAACATGGCTGCCTGCACTTCAGATATTTGGCATGGGTGGGGAATTGGTGAAGATAGAGTCAGGCCAGGTCACCCGGTACGAGCTGAAGAGCTTGCCCAGTTCTTGAGGTAAGCCATCAAATGAGACCATTTAGGGGAGGCGATGGCCTAAGTGCTATTATCACTGGACTGTTAATTCAAAGACCCAGATAATGTTCTGGGGACCTGGGTTCGAATCCTGCCACGGCAGATGGTGGAATTTGAATTCAATAAGTATCTGGAATTAAGAATCTAATGATGACCGTCGATTGTCGGGAAAAACCCATTTGGTTCACTAATGCCCTTTAGGGAAGAAACTGCCATCCTTGCCTGGTCTGGCCTACACGTGACTCTAGACCCACAGCAATGTGGGATTGATCTCTCAGGGGAAACCAGCAACAGCCAAATTTATTGCAGCACAGAGATAGTAGGAACTGCAGATGCTGGAGAATCTAAGATAACCAGCTGTTGCTGGTTTCCCCTGAGAGGTCAATCCCCCAACAGTATTCAAAGCAGTATATCTGTTTTGCAGTGGAATAACCTCAGAAAATTCCTGCGCTGCCCACCTTAGACTGAGATGGGTGCAGACTAAACAAAAGAGATTTTGAACAGCAAAGTTGGAGAGGCTAAAAGTAGGAAGATAGAGGGAAATATGGGAGAAGCTGAGGCAAGATTGAGCAATGAGCACTTTGCGACCGCAGAATGCTTTGGGCATGACCTTGGTAACAAACGTTTCCCGAAGTAAACACCTAAGATAACAAGGTGTAGAGCTGGATGAACACAGCAGGCCAAGCAGCATCAGAGGAGCAGGAAGGCTGACGTTTTGGGCCTAGACCCTTCTTCAGAAATGGGGGAGGGGAAAGGGGTTCTGAAATAAATAGGGAGAGAGGGGTAGGCGGATAGAAGATGGATAGAGGAGAAGATAGGTGGAGAGGAGACAGACCGGTAAAAGAGGCGGGGATGGAGCCAGTAAAGGTGAGTGTAGGTGGGGAGGTAGGGAGGAGATAGGTCAGTCCAGGGAGGATGGACAGGTCAAGGGGGCGGGATGAGGTTTGTAGGTAGGAGATGGGGGAAGGGCTTGAGGTGGGAGGAGGGGATAGGTGGGAGGAAGGACAGGTTAGGGAGGCGGGGATGAGCTGGGCTGGTTTTGGGATGTGGTAGGGGGAGGGGAGATTTTGAAGCTTGTGAAGTCCACATTGATACCATTGGGCTGCAGGGTTCCCAAGCAGAATATAAATTGCTGTTCCTGCAACCTTCGGATAGCATCGTTGTGGCACTGCAGGAGGCCCAGGATGGACATGTCGTCTGCGGAATGGGAGGGGGAGTTGAAATGGTTCGCGACTGGGAGGTGCAGTTGTTCAGTGCGAACCGAGCGTAGGTGTTCTGCAAAGCAGTCCCCAAGCCTCCGCTGTAGAGGAGGCCACAATGGGAACAGCGGATGCAGTATACCACATTAGCAGATGTGCAGGTGAACATCTGCTTGATGTGGAAAGTCTTCTTGGGGCCTGGGATGGGGGTGAGGGGGGAGGTGTAGGGGCAGGTTTGGCACTTCCTGCGGTTGCAGAGAAAAGTGCCGGGTGAGGTGGGGCTGGAGGGGAGTGTGGAGCGGACAAGGGAGTCATGGAGAGAGTGGTCCCTCCAGAACGCAGATAAGGGTGGGGCGGGAAAAATGTCTTTGGTGGTGGGGTCGGATTGCAGATGGCGGAAGTGTCAGAGGATGATGCTTAGGATCCGGAGGTTGGTGGGGTGGTATGTGAGGACGAGGAGGATTCTGTTTTGGTTGTTATTGCGGGTAGGGGGTGTGAGGGATGAGCTGCGGGAAATGCGGGAGACACGGTCGAGGGCATTCTCGACCACTGAGGGGGGAAGTTGCGGTCCTTGAAAAACGAGGACATCTGAGATGTACGGGAGTGGAATGCCTCATCCTGGGAGCAGATGCGGCGGCGGTGAAGGAATTGGGAATAGGGGATGGCATTTTTGCAGGAAGGTGGGTAGGAGGAGGAGTATTCTCGGTAGCTGTGGGAGTCGGTGGGCTTGAAATGGATATCGGTTTCTAGGTGGTTGCCAGAGATGGAGACAGAGAGGTCCAGGAAGGAGAGAGAGGTATTAGAGATGATCCAGGTGAACTTAAGGTTGGGGTGGAAGGTGTTAGTGAAGTGGATGAACTGTTCGAGCTCCTCATGGGAGCACGAGGCGGCGCCGATACAGTCATCAATGTAACGGAGGAAGAGGTGGGGTTTAGGGCCAGTGTAGGTACGGAAGAGGGATTGTTCCACATAACCTACAAAGAGGCAGGCATAGCTTGGGCCCATGCGGGTACCCATGGCCACCCCCTTTGTCTGTAGGAAGTGGGAGGAATTGAAAGAGAAGTTGTTGAGGGTGAGGACAAGTTCGGCTAAGCGGATGAGGGTGTCAGTGGAGGGGGACTGGTCGGGCCTGCAGGACAGGATGAAGCGGAGGGCCTTTAGGCCATCTGTATGGGGAATGCAGGTGTATAGGGACTGGACGTCCATGGAAAAGATGAGGTGTTGGGGACCGGGGAATTGGAAGTTCTGGAGGAGGTGGAGGGCGTGGGTGGTGTCACGGACGTAGGTAGGGAGCTCCTGGACCAAGGGGGAGAAAATGGAGTCCAGATAGGTGGAGATAAGTTCGGTGGGGCAGGAGCAGGCAGAGACAATGGGTCGACCAGGGCATTCAGGTTTGTGGATTTTGGGAAGGAGATAGAAGTGGGCGTGCGGGGTTGGGGAACAATGAGGTTGGAGGCTGTAGGTGGGAGGTCACCTGAAGTGATGAGGTTGTGGATGGTTTGGGAGATGATGGTTTGGTGGTCGGGGGTGGGGTCATGATCAAGGGGGCGGTAGGAGGAGGTGTCGGAGAGTTGACGTCTGGCTTCGGCGATGTAGAGGTCAGTGCGCCATACTGCAACTGCGCCTCCCTTGTCCGCGGGTTGCTTCAAAATCTCCCCTCCCCCACCACATCCCAAAACCAGCCCAGCTCGTCCCCGCCTCCCTAACCTGTCCTTCCTCCCACCTATCCCCTCCTCCCACCTCAAGCTCCACCCCCATCTCCTACCTGCTAACCTCATCCCACCCCCTTGGCCTGTCCGTCCTCCCTGGACTGACCTATCTGCTCCCTAACTCCCCACGTACACTCACCTTAACTGGCTCCATCCCCGCCTCTTTTACCGGTCTGTCTCCTCTCCACCTATCTTCTCCTCTATCCATCTTCTATCCGCCTACCCCTCTCTCCCTATTTATTTTCAGAACCCCCTTCCCCTCCCCCATTTCTGAAGAAGGGTCTAGGCCCAAAACATCAGCGTTCCTGCTCCTCTGATGCTGCTTGGCCTGCTGTGTTCATCCAGCTCTACACCTTGTTATCTTTTATTGCAGCACAGTTGTTTCTGCTGCACAGGAGAGGAGGAGAAAGTGTGGGAATGCAATAATTGTAGGGATTCAATTGTAAGAGGAATAAACATGTGTTTCTGTGGCAGCAAACGAGACTCCAGGATGGTATGTTGCCTCCCTAAAACTAAGATCAAGGATGTCTCAGTGCAGCTACAGGACAGTCTGGAGGGTGAGGGTGAACAGCCAGTGGTCGTGGTACAAATTGTGTCAGTGACATAGGTAATGAAAGGGGTGAGGTCTTAAAAGCTGAGCTGGGCCAAAGAACTGCAGAGTGGCAGTTGGAGTTTAATTTACATAAATGTGAGGTGTAGCATTTTGGTAAGACTAACAAGGGCAGGACTTACACTGTTAATGGTAAGGCCCTGGAGAGTGTTGTCGAATAGAGAGGCCGAGGGATTCAGGTACATGGTTCCTTGAAAGTGGTGACACAGTTAGGCAGGGTGGTGAAGAGGGTGAATGACACACTTGCTTTCATCGTTCAGAGTATTGAGTTGGGATGTTATGGTAAGGCTGTACAGGATGTTGGTGAAGTCACTGTTGGAGTACTGTGTACAGTTCTGGTCATCCTGCTATAGGAATGATATTATTAAATTGGAGCAGGTTCAAAAATGATTTACCAGGATGTTGCTGGGACTGGAAGCTTTGAGCTATATGGAGATGGATAGGCTGGGACTTTTTCCCTGGAGATTCAGAGGTTGAGGGGTGACCTTAGAGAAGTTTATACATTCATGAAGGGCATAGATAAGGTGAATAGCCAAGGTCTTTTTCCTGGGGTAGGGGAGTTCAGAGCCAGAGGGCATAGGTTTAAGGTGAGAGGAGAAAGATTGAAAAGGGACCTGAGGGGCAACTTTTTCACACAGAGGGTGATCTTGTGGAATGATCTGCCAGAGGAAGTGGTAGATGCAGGTACAGTTACAACATTTAAAAGACATTTGGACAGGTACATGGATAGGAAATGTTTAGAGGGATATGGGCCAAACGCAGGCAAATGGGACTAGTTTAGTTTGGGAAACCTGGTTGGCATGGATGAGTTAGACCGAAGGGTCTGTTTCCGTGCTGTATGACTGTATAACTTGGAATCCTGTGAGTTGGCCAGCTTGTCTGACCTCTGCAGCCCTCCTTGGGGTACCATGCCACAATGAGTTCTGAGTAGAGCAGTTGTTTGGGAGTCTGGCATTAGATTATGAATGACATGTACTGTCCAGTCAAGCTGGTTTTCAATAATTAGTACCTCAATTCTGGGCCTGTTGGCTTGGGAGAGAATGCCGCTGTCGAACCACCAATGTTGCCACGGGATTTGGAGGATCCTGCAAAAGCATCTGTGGTGGTTCACTTCTGGTGCTTTGAGACCTAGGCTGTAGATCACCAAGTCTCTGAAATGTGGGCGTGCCAGAATGGTAGTATTTCTCCATGCAGTAAAAGTTAAGCTACCATGTCCTATCCATTCATGCTCAGTTTTTCTTGCATGACCACCTATTGCCAGCTTATATATTACAAAAATACTCTAAATCCTGCAGCTGGATACAAAAATCGAAACTCCTCAGAGCAAGTCATCAATTCCAAAAATCTGCTTCCCCTGCCGGAAGTGTTGACTTGTCTCTTCTGCACAACTACAGACTGACGTCCTTCGGGTATCTGATGTCAGCTTCCTCTTTTGCAAGTAATATAGTCCAGAAACTGGAGAGAGAGAGAGCAGTTCCTGAATTCTGACAGGATGTTGACGGTCTCAGAATGATCTTAAGGAATGACTCAGCCTTCCTATGACCTGAACGCTTTGTGAAATACCACTAGCCCTGCCTATTGAAACGACGGTATGTTTTAGAACGGATGGAAGTACCTCTCCGCACCAGTAGGAAGTGGAGCAGGAGATCATTACCTGATGCTGTTAATAGTGTTTCTCGGCCAGCAGCCACTGAGCATTGAGCCTCCCGCACCAGTTCAGGAAGGGTGCAGTTCTCAGACTGCCCCCCGCATCTACACCACAAGGGAAGTTCATGTGAGTTTACGAAGCCGTCGTGTTTTTGCTGTGCAACTGGGAACAGCACAGAAAAGTAGAACCTCACATTCCACGAGCCTTGTTGTGGAATTTTAGATATGATGAGAACATTACTTAAGGTACCCCTAAGGTTCCATTTACTCATTTACTACATGCCGTTATGAAAACGTCCTGCGTTGCTATTGACGGGGATGTGGAACTTTCACAAATGTGCTAGCGATACCATACATGAAGTCAGAAATACACCTGGAATTATCTACTTGTAAAATCCTGTCATTGCTCAGCGCTGCTCTGCACTTTGAGGGAAAGAGCCTTTTTGTTATGTCTTTGATGCTGGGTTCGGATTAGACGTATAAAACCGAAACTACTCTTTGCTGGGTAACTCAGCGTGTTAGCCCTCAGGAGGATTTAACAAACCCAGAAAAATTGTTTGTTATGTTTATTTAGGGTTGTTTCGAAATAGCATTTTTAATGTCAAAAATATACTTTATTGATAAAAAATATCTTTATATACATACATGGTGAAGCTGTTCGCTTCTGTGCAGTGGCATATCAAGAAACAAGCAGACAGTGATTTGTTTGATTCTATCCAACAAACAAACCAAAGGCATTTCTTGCCTGTACAAGATTATATTTACATACAGCAATTTCTAGCTTCATGGCAGCTCAATCTGTCTAGAACTCTGAAGACCAGGTTGTAGGTGAGACTGAACTGAGCCTAACCCTGTTTAATTTGGGAGGCGAAAGTATGCCATCTTTAATCGAAACTAAATCGAGTTTGCACGCGTTCATTTTGTAAACTGGGGCAAAGAATCTAGCTGGTAGGGAGCGAATGAATATCTTTTTATTAAAAAAAGACATACGCGATGCATTTATTGCCCACCCCTTATTGCCATTGAGAGTGGCGGTCAGGCACCTTCTTGAACGATTGTTGCCCACGATGCTGTTGGAAAAGAAATTCCAATGTTCTGATCCAGTGACAGTGAAGCAGAGGTGGCTCCAAGTCAAAATGTTGTGTGGCTAGGGAGCAAAATGCAATTATGGTGTATATAGTGTAGTATGGGAACATTGGACTTAAGAACCAAATGTTCTGCTACTGTTCCTAAGTCCAATGTACACTATATACACTATACTACAGTAAAATGCTTTGGGATGTTCTAAATTTGTGAAAGGTTCTGTATAAATGTGAGTTTTTTTTAAAAATTAGGCATCTCATTAGTTGTTTAGGTATAATAGTGTGGAGCTGGATGAGCACAGCAGACCAAGCAGCATCAGAGGAACAGGAATGTTGACATTTCAGGTCAGGACCCTTCTTCAGAAATGGGGAGGGTGAAGGGAACTCAGAAATAAATAGCGAGAGGAGGGGTGGGGCTGTGGAAGGTAGGTGGGATGGTGATAGGTGAGTGCAGGTAGGGAGTGGTGGGGATTGGTCAGTGAGGTGGAAGGGGTGGATAGATGGGAGAGAAGATGGATAGGTCATCTCAGGTCAAGGAGGTAGGGATGAGAGGGAAGATTAGTCATGGGATGAGGCCGGGGGGTGGGGAGATTTTGAAACTGGTAAAGTCCACAGTTAGGCCATCGGGCTGTAGGCTCCCAAGGTGGAATATGAGGTGCTGCTCCTCCAGTTTCCAGGTGGCATCATTGTGACATGGGAGGAGGCCCAGGATGGACATGTCGCACAGGGAGTGGAAGGGGGAGTTGAAGTGGTTCGCGACTGGAAGGTGTTGTCATTTGTTGCGAACAGAGTGCAGGTGCTCTACAAAGTGGTCTCCGAGCCTCCGCTTGTTCTCACCGATGTACAGGAGGCCACATTGGGAGCAGCAGATGCAATAGTCCGCATTGACGGATGTGCGTGTGAACTCTGTCTGATGTGAAAGGTTTGTTTAGTTGACCTTGACCTGCTCCTCCCACCTCACTGACCAATCGCCACCACTCCCTACGTGCACTCACCTATCACCATCCCATCTACCTTCCCCAGCCCCACCCCTCCTCTCTCTATTTATTTCTGAGCTCCCGTCCCCCTCCCCCATGTCTGAAGAAGGGCCCCAACCTGAAACGTCAACTGTCCTGGAGAAGGGTCTAGACCCGAAACGTCAGCCTTCCTGCTCCTCTGATGCTGCTTGGCCTGCTGTGTTCATCCAGCTCTACACCTTGTTATCTTACGTCAACTGTACTGCTCTTTTGATGCTGCCTGGCCTGCTGTGCTCCTCCAGCTCCACACTGTTATCTCTGACTCCAGTATTGGCAGTTCTTACTATCTCCGAGTTGTTTAGGTGTGTCTTGTTTTGGATTTTATCCTCATTCCTTGAAATTAAATGCTTTCAGTTAACCTTTTTTTATATATTACTATGCTGCAATGCTTGGTCATCTCACTGATCCAATTTTGATTATCATTAAAGAAGATGTGTGCAGAATAATTATTATCTGACAGCTAATTAATTCTAATTTAATTCTGATTAATTAAACTGCAATTATTTCAATGCAAGGGGTCTTTCAGGTAAGGCAAATGAACTCAGGGCATGTATTGGAACATGGGACTGGAACATTATAGCTATTATAAAAACATGGCTGAGGGAGAGACAGAACTGGCAGCTCAATGTTTCAGGGTTTAGATGCTACAGGAAGGTTAGAAAGGGAGGCAAGAGAGGAGGGGTAGTGTTATTTTTGATTAAGGCAAACATTACTGCTGTACTTAGGATATTTTGAGGGATCATCAATGAAGCTGTGTAAGTTGAACTCAGGAATAAAGAGGGAATGATCACCTTGATGGAATTGTACTATAGACCCCCAACAGTCAAAGGGAAATTGAGGAACAAATATGTAGAGAGATCTCAGATATATGTAACAATAATACGGTTGTAACAGTAACTGGGACTGCTATTGTGTTAAGGTTGGATGGTGAGAAATTTGTTAAATATGTTCAAGAAAATTTTTTTTATCAATATGTAGATGTAACCACTACAGAAGGAGCAAAACCTGACTTTATCTTGGGAAATAAGGCAAGGCAAATGACTGAAGTGTTAATGGGGAGCACTTTGGGACCAGAGATCGTAATTCAATTCATTTTAAAATAGTTATGGAAAAGGATGGGCTTTGTATAAAAGTGAAAGATCTTGATTGGAGTTAGGCAAATTTTGACGGTATGAGACAGGAACTTTCAAGACTTGATTGGAGTAGACTGTTCGCAGGTAAAAGGACGACTGGCAAGTACGAGGCTTTCAAAAGTGAGAAAGTGAGAGTTCAGAGGAATTATGTTCCTGCCAGAGCGAAGGGTAAGGCTGATAAGAATAGGGAACAGTGGATGAATGAAGATAGTGAAGCTCTGGTCAGGAATAAGAGGTATTGACAATATATTAGGTATAGACCATTGGATCAAGTGAATCTCTTGGAGAGTATAAGGGGCAGATTCACTGCCACCAATTGTTCTCATTTACTAATACCAAGGGGGAAGGATGCCCACACACAGTCTTCGACAGAAGGGAGGCAGTACCCAACCTCAGTAATGGATACTGCCGTGACTGGAGGCAGATGAATGAGGAAGACAGCCATGGACTCTGGAGTGAGGTAAATCAGGAGGGGTCGGGATGCTCAACAAACCAAATACCTACAGGCTTTCATGGACTATGGAAAACTATCTGACAGCATATACAGAGAGGTTGTTACCCCCAGGCTAGGAAATCTTGGACAGCTGTTCAGTTTCAGGCTAAGGGCTCGACCATTTAAGACTGAAGTGAAAGAATTTCTTTCTTGAAAATGTGGCATTTCTTTGGAATTCTCTACTGGGGATGATGTGAAGGTATCATCTTTGATTGTATTTAAGACTGAGATGACCACAATGTTTAGTTTTTCAGGGAACAGTGAGTAGAAGGGAAGTGCAGTTGAAGTCCAAGACCTACTGTTGCAGAGGAGGCTTGATGGATTGTATGGCCTTCTCTTGCTCCTAATTCTTATGCTCTTAACTAACAAGAAATTATTCTGACACTGGCTGTCATGGGAAAATTACAATTATCTGGAAGCAGGAAACCTCACTATCTTTATTCAAAAAGGATTTGAAATATGGAAATAACATCAGGGTATGCACATGCCTACTTGTGTGGTGACAGTGAGTAACCCAGAAGATAGTTGTTAGTATAGAATCATAGAATCTCTACAGTGCAGCAAGAGGCCATTCGGCCATTGAGTCTGCATCGACCCTCTGAAGAGCACCCCACCAGCCTATCCCTGCACTACCATGCCCATTCTCCTCATGTCTGTGTGGGTTTCCTCTGGGTGCTCCAGTTTCTTCCCACAATTGAAAGATGTGCAGGTTAGGTGGATTGGCCATGCTAAATTTCCTGTAGTGTCTAGGGATGTGCAGACTAGATGGATTAGCCAAGGGAAATGCAGGGTCACGGGGATAGGGTGGTGGAGAGGGGTGGTCTGGGTAGCATGCTCTTTGGATGGTTGGTGTATCTTGATGGGCTGAATGGCCTGCTTCCACATTATATGGAATTTAAGACTTTTTGACTATAGCAATGTTGTGTTTAAGGGAATGACTTATCAAATGTATTGACAAACTTATCGCCAGGTAACTCAAACAATATGTTGTTCTTTGAGATCATTAAGGTGTAGCTAAATCATGCCCTCTACATCCCTTTTATTGACATTCTCAGCGGGTGCTACCAGGTACTCTATACAAATGTCAATGGAAATACAGATTGGCCTTAATACTAGTCCTGAAAGAAAATGCCAGATCCACTTGAAAGCAAGAAGGCAGTTACTTTAACTATAAGAGATAGTAGAGACTGCAGATGCTGGAGAATCTGAGATAACACGGTGTAGAGCTGGATGAACACTGCAGGCCAAGCAGCATCATAGGAGCAGGAAGGCTGACATTTCGGGCCTAGACGCTTCTTCAGAAATTTCAATAACCTGCCTTGCATTAGATCACAAAAGTTACCTAACAGTTCCCCACTTTACCTCATTTTCACACTCAGATTGACAGAAAGTGTGGACCACTA